TGATGGCATGATGTGTAGACTCATTCGTACTGAAAGACTGAGCAAAGACATTTTTTTTTCCAGGCAGATATATCATGACAATAAAAAAATAGCAGTGATTAAGTGTAGGTAAAAGAAATGAAGCGGGAAACTTACTTTTATCACAGATTTTATTTATTTTTACACTCAGTGCTTCTGCACCGTCCATTCACACAATAGTGTCTTAGTGTTTGAGCGGCCCTCCCATGTCTAGATGCTATGGAATCTTGAAAACGAGAGTGTGCGTTGTGCTTCTTGGACCCTGTTAAAACTGTCAGAGTGCCTTGAAACCCCATGTGGCAGGTCTCCTCCATCCTGCAGGGTTGACAGGAGGCAGGACAGCCTGACCAGCCACGGGTTTATTGGCTGGCTCCGTAGCAGAGTCCTTGTCCTCAGGCAGAAGTTCACCTCCTGTGCAGCCACCAGCCATCTGGTGATGGATGCTTGAATGTTGATAGAATATTGGTCAGGTTTCAGAGAGGCTTCCAGATGGAGATGGACTGTGAGGTCCACTTCCAAAACCCAGACAGTGATAAGCCATGTGGACAACTGACAGTGACATTGACCAGTCCCACCCACACTGGGGACAAGGCAGGGCTGGTCCATGTTCTCTCATTACACAGGGTCATCATGAATTACGGTCTAACTCCACAGCAGCCAACAGCAACAAAGAGTCCCTAAGAAGGCTGGAGTACGATGACAGTGATGTCTGTCTGTCTGTCTGTCTGTCTTATCAGTGTTGTTTGGACGTGTCACCGAGTCAGCTCAGACTCACAGCGACCCCATGACCAACAGAATGCAATCCTAATTAGTGCCGCACCGTCCTCACAGCCACTACGCTGCTTCAGCCCTTCGTGGTAGCCACTGTGTCACTACACAATTTACCTTCTTGTTAATTCAGAAAAATCCCCTCTGGTGGCCTAGAGTTAAGAAACAGCACTGCAATTCTGAAGGTACTTGGTTTGAATCTACCAGCTGCTCTCCAGAAGACCCTCCTCCTGTGCAATTAACTGCCACTGAAAACCCTCTGGAGGGTCGGCTGTGGGTCAGTTCTGTCTTGATGGTACTCAACAGCAACAATATGTACTAATCAGCGAAGGGCCAGTGACCTCTAATGCCTTCTCCTGGACCTTCCTTCTGTAGGAAGTTAAGACCTCAGTAAAACAATGCATAACCTCGGTGAATTTTGGGGTGGCTTTTTATAGTACAAACATTAAAAGAAGGACAGCTGATAAAACTCTTCAGAATGAGAAAATAACAAAATGATTCAATAGTTAATCAGTTCAAAACACTTTACAAATTGTGCTCCAGGCAGAGATGTGCTGTACTGAGGGGAAAAGTCATCATCATTCTAACAATCACATCATCATCTCCATCATCATTAGTCACCATTTCTGCCATCACTGTCACCATTACCACTTATATCACCAGAACCATCCTCACGACAATCGCCATCATCACCACCACTATTGCCATCACCGTCATCACTGTCACCATTATCCCATTCCCACCATCACCATCATCACCACATCAGCTTCCTGACCCTTATCGTCACCAGTATATCGCTTCATCACCATCACCACTGTCATCATCACTGCTGTTGTCACGACCTCACCCTTGCCCATTTTCCTCACCATCTTCACCCTAACTGCCACGCTCATCTTCACCACGACCATCATCCTCACCATCCTCACCATGACAACCACCCTCATCTTCACCACAACTATTTCCCTCACCATCTTCACCATGACAACGACGCTCATCTCCACCAGGACTCTCATCCTCACCATCTTCACCGTGACTCCCACCCTCATCATCACCATCGTAAGCCCTGGACTCAGCCTTCTGTCCTCTTCTTCTTTCTGAGGAAGCATGATTTACTTGTTCACTTGACATTTATGTCATGCCTTCACATTGACTCAAAAAGGCGGAAACCTTTTACTTTGAAAACTCTCTCCTC